AAGTCCTCACATCTTAAAGTTGCCAAGGTTGATAAACACTGCTATGGAGGATGCAAATATTAGCCATACTAATTGCTGAAGTATTATTTGCACTGGCTCAAAATTAAAACCGGGGGGGGGGAGATAAAGCTCTGCAAAATCTGCATGATAATTTTATTTTCATCCTGCAGAAATTTAGTAAAAGGTTTGTCCATAAATAGGGTAATTTAAGATGTCATTCATTTATAAGTTCTAAAAAAATGGCTATATAGGCCAAAGTTCCTTTATCTGCAATAGTCTGGTAAAAAAGTAGATACAACAATAAGATATTATGTCTTGCAAACCTTTATCTTTGATACCAAAAAGAGTCATTCTTCCTTTGCTTCAGATCCACCTAAAAGAGAAATACCCAGGAGCAACACACAAAGTAGATTTTATGCTGTAATTTTTGATGAAAGATGAAATCTAGATTTGCAAAGAACTGGGTTTTTTTAATTGTTAAAATAGTATCATATTTTTTTACCAAATGATGCTCATAAAATGTTTTGAAAAGTCATGAATAAGATTAGTATGTATATAGATTTGTATGAGGGCTTAAAATCTGACTAAATAATTGCTTCTGTTAGTGAAAAGTCTGCAGGTATAGAACTAGTCAGCTTCCATGGAGTGTAATTTCTAAGAGTAGCCATAACTTAGGAATATTAAGTCAAATGACTCAGTATCTATAACATGCTGGACTAAAATATGAATAACTAATTTGTATTATATCAATTTACTCAACAGCGTTGGTTCAGGAAACCCTAGTTAGGCTCTGCACAGAAAACAACTATTAAACAACATTTGTGAAAATTAGGTAGTAGAAAAAGGGGGTTGCAAGATGTTTCTTTCACATCAGTGTTATTTTGCCTCACTGGCTGCAAAACAATGCCATAAAACTGTGAAGTTAAAGCAACAAAGAAAAATATTATTGTAAAAGCTGGTTAGTATACTCTTACTGTGAATAAATCTCATTTGATCTGTGATGTTCTTCTTAGTAAACATGTACAAAACAGTGTATTGTTCTTCAGGACCGCAAACCCCAAGTTAGAAACAGGCAACAAGAAAAAAAGCATGATGCTAATTCAGGTGAGATTCAAATATTTTTCTGGCTGTTTTTCCTTAAAAAAAAGTTCCCATTTGCTTTATTTTCAGTTAAAATGCTGAAATACTAAAATCTACAAAAACAACCACACTGTGATAATTTAAACGAGCTAACATTACCTCAGAGGATCATGTTAAGTAATATAGCTATTAGATTTATTTTCAAACTCTCCCTATATACATGAGACTACATAAATAAGAACAATACTATTACAATTTAAAATTTTATAAACACACAGCATGTTTTGCTTGAAAAATAAAAACAACCACACTGTGATAATTTAAACGAGCTAACATTACCTCAGAGGATCATGTTAAGTAATATAGCTATTAGATTTATTTTCAAACTCTCCCTATATACATGAGACTACATAAATAAGAACAATACTATTACAATTTAAAATTTTATAAACACACAGCATGTTTTGCTTGAAAAATCCTCTAATAGGTTCATATTGACTGTGAAAACTATAGCCATACAGTAATTTCACATTCACAGAGCAAGACATCAGTGAAAATAGTTGTCAAGATGGATTCTTCCTGAAAACACATCCAAGCTAAATCACAATCATTGTAAATATGCACTGAACTAAAGGGAGGTGGACTGCTCAGACAGAATAGATATATTTGCTATGTCATTTTCCTGGACTTTGTATCTGTGAATTTTTAAAAAAAGTTCAATTTGGATATTTGCCATACTGGGAAATACTTATTTCTAGTATTAGTACACTGATATCTAGTACATTTTCCAAGTTTCCAAAGTGTTCCTCTTCTCTGGATTCAGCACATACTCATTTTCTTTCTTGGGCTGCTGTCAAAGAGGCTGTACGGATTTTGAAGATCATGACTTGGATCCAACACAACCTTGGTAGCAGCAGAGATTTCTGCCACGCACACAGTGTCCTCTCAGACTTTTACTGACTTCCAACTGTAGCATTAATTTTAATTTCTGCTTTTCATGCGTTTATTCAAAAAGCAGAAATCCTGACAGTTACTCAGGTTTGGATGAGGAGAGCAAGCAAAGAAATGGTCTCATTCACAAATACTGGCATCTTTTATCCTGGTTTTCCCAAGCTGCTAATTCATCGATCTGTCCTGTTAAGTTTTAAAATTGTATCGCTTTTATACAGTTGAGAACACTACAGAATTCTATGAATAATAAAAATAGCATATAAATACATTTAATAAACTAAAGAGATCAAAAGGTAATAATCAGAACAGCAGTTTTGGTCAAATCCAAGATCTATCTAGTTCAGAATTTGTTCCCGCAACAAACAATTTATTTCTACGGGACCGACACGGGTGCAAGAGTTCTCTAAGAGTTATTAGCATGCTACATATGATGCTCAATCACATAATGGCTGGATACATACATTACTCTAAGCCCTACTGTGGCTTGAGTTCAGTTCAGTGTATTGCATGCACATAACCAATTGTACTTTATTAAATAAATCATAAGCAAATTATGGCTTAGCCCTGTTTGTGAACCCAGTCAAGGTATTGGTAAAACTGATGACCTGGCAAGGTGGTTTAACTGAGAGTGGAAAACTTTAAAAAAATTTAAAACTAAAACCAACAGACAAATGTGCTACTTGAAGTTCATATAGTCTGTTAACCAAGATGGCCAAATTGAGCCCGATTGATTAATTTGACTAAGTCATTATTCAATGTATTTTCCAGATGCTACCAGATAGTTAACTCTAATCTCCTGCCTAATGATAAAGGAAGGAGCAATTCCCACTCCTTTTTCACTCTCCTTTAAACAAGAAAACAGCACTATATTCTTTGAAGATCTGACCATGATGTTATAAACGTTCAGGTTGACTTTTTATATGCATACATCCATACAGACCATTTTTCGGCTAGCACTGAGTTTAACTTATTTAGTTCCGTGGTGCTGCTTACTTTGCAGAAGCAAGTTGTGTTCCAGAAACAAATACTCTGCAGCATCTTCAAGCTTAATATAAGCATTGCAGAAGCATTCGCAGATTGAGGCGGACCACCATCAGACTATTACGGGCGGGGGTTACTCAATTTCTAAGGTGGAAAACAAAGCATGCTTGATAATATTGGAAGAATTTGTGCATGGGAGAAATCCATCCCCTTGATGACCGAAGAGGCTTTATTTACACCACTCAACAGTGAAGAACCTGAAGCAGTTTTAGACCTTTCCAAGCAGCTTATACTATAAACCATGCACTCGATAGAGGACCAGCATCAAATTTTTGCTGTAGGTCCCGGGCTACTTACACACGAGCAGCAGGCGCCTGCTCTTGAACACTTCCATCAAGGTGAGGAGCAAACCCAGCAGGCCGGAATTCACTCCCCAGGAATTCCACCCCAGTGACCGCTTTGCCAATTGTGAACCAATCGTTGATCTGATCTACGGTGAGTTTTCGCAACATGGCTCAACCTCAACAAGCCGCTAACAAAGGAAACCATCCAGCCCTCCGCCAAGCGCTGAACTAATTAGTGGGATCCGCCCGCCTTACAGCCACGTGCGCAATTCGACCCCGAGATTCTGCAAATAGTGAGCGAGGCTGCAACTGCTTGCCTGCTTCCCAAGCTACGCTTTCTGGTTAGTTCGATTTTGGCTTCTTAGTCTGGCAACTACTGTATCTCCTATGCACACCTACTTGGGAGTAAGACGCACTGAAAATAAGGAGCTTTATTTCCGAGAAGCGCGCAGGATTGCGCTTGGAAGCAATTCCGATTGTATTCAGTGGCGTTTAGGAAGAGTATAGACAGTCAACGGTATACACTATCGCAGTCTTACAGGGAAAGCACATGCGAGTGCGGAATGGGTTAGGTTTGCATGTAATCCATAATTACTTTAACCCAGTTTTCTGGGTTTTAATAATATACTGAACCATAGAGTATATGGTTAGGTTCACTCAACACACTAGACTAAAATGTGATAGGCTGCTTAGTGATATGATGCATTGTGAATTTACTCAGCATAAAGTTAATTCAGGGTTGCAGTCTAGATCACACCTATTAGATTCAATTCATACTGTGATCAGTGGTAAGTGAATTCCAATTAACTGCATACAATTGCAGTTGGCTTGTGCAACACATTAATTCATGATTAACTGAGCTATAGTTTATGTAGTTAACCCAAGTGGCTGCATTTGCACAACTCAACCATACACCAACTGTACCAGGTGTGTTCTCACAGCATACTGAGCCATCAACTAGCAAATCGCATTTTAGCCTCATTTGATCTCTCAGAGCTCCTAGCCAGGAATTCTGGAATTTGTTATCCCAAGCAGGATTACAACCTCTGGCTTTAGAGCCTACACTGCACATTTGATAGGGTTAGAGGGAGCTTTGCACTGGGGTGGGAGGAGGCCATCTGTGACATCATGCAGTGCACCCTGACAATTGACAGGGAAGTTTGCAAGATTCTCGTTCCTACTGCACCATGCAGGCCAAGAAATGTCAGGCTGTTTTTAAACCCAGGTTTAGCCCTCATTTGAAAAAAAAACACCCCAACTACTGTTTAAAAAGAACCCACGCAACATCCAGCAGCATTACAGGGCTGCACTGTGAAATAGGATTCTGTCTCTTCATTCAACCCCTGCCTACTGTTAGGCTGATCTCACTTTCAAAAGCCAAGTTGATAAGTCTTACCAGCTTGGAAACCTAATGGGTACAGGGGAAGTAAGACTTGAAAAAAGAGTTTCCTCCTGCCATAGGCCAAACCACCCTGAACGACTGTCCAGGGCTCCCAATGTGAAAGTTGCCCAATAGGAGCTGATATGACCCCCTCCAGGAATCACATGTGCATGGTGCTAATGGAATGGTTGGCGAAGCATGTCAGATTGAATCAACTACAAAAAATGTGTCAGGATACTAACACCACTGCAACTAAGTAGATTTAAGTCTGTCTCAGGTATGAGTTGGGGATCAGATGAAAGTAATGACATGAGGACACAACAGAAAAAGAGGTTGTCAGGGCATGTTTACATTGCACGTAGATGGTATTTTTTGGGTGGTATTTTCAGGTTGCTGACTAGGCAAATGGGTAGCTCTGGTCCTAAAATATGGAGGGTGTAATGTTAGGGAGGGCTGACCTAGCATACTGCGTGAACCCAGTTCCCCCTCATTTTTTTTTTAGAAACCCAGAAAGTCATCAGTTACCTGCCAGTAGCAGAAATAATTTAGCTATTAAAGCAATTAGTTTAAATATATTTGCAGTGGTAGAGCATGTAAATAAGTCACACGTGTCTCCAAAGACACACTGGCAAGATTATCAGAAAGCAAGCTGCAGAATTCAGCAGGAGTTACTTTGATATAAACAAGGTTGCACTTTGTTTTGTAATTCTTAGACTGTGTTCATCTACAAACTAGCAGTTTAACTGCAAACTAACAAGCCCACATTTGTGTGAACATAGCCTTAAAGCTACAATCATAAAGATGCAAACAAGCACACTTCCATTGGAAAAACCTGTGTTTAATTAGTACTACAGCTGTTCCACTGTAATTATTTGTTCTAGGGAAGTTTATAAAAGTGATCAGGCATCCCAGTTTATAGCTAGATTTACACAAAATGCTACACTAAAATGTTGGCTAGCTTGCAGTTTAGCATGTGATACAAACCCAGTTAAAATAATGAACTATGGTTCAGTCAATCATGGGTTAGTGTTTTGTAATGAATACAGCTTAATAGCGCATTTCAAAAATAATGGTCTTTGGAATTTCACTAAATCTCTAGAACTGCATTCCATAAAGCCCCTTTAGTAAGATCCAGATTACAGTTTAAAATGTAGTCTTCCTATCATTCTGTTGTTAACTATCAGGATTTAATACAAGCCTCAAACTATCTCAGCAACATGTCTCAACAGCTGAAATAAATTCAGCAGATGTGACTCTCCCTCTTGTGTAGTAGTTCACCTGCCAAACCAGACATCCTGCAACCTGTCAGATCTGTCACTAACCTGCAGATTTATGATAAAGACAAGCTCTTGCACAGATAAATTGACAAGTATAGCAAGTGGGTTGAAGAGATTTATTAATCTGCATTTCATTTTATGTGTGCTTATGAAGAGGTAAATCCCACTGAGAGTCAAGTTGCGTATCATTTTAAAGATGATGTGCATCTCTGTAAGTGTTGTGTATTCTAAGCAACGTTGTCCAACCTGGTGCCTTCCAGATGTGCTGGACAATCCTAGCCATCTCAAAAGCAGCATGGGCCATGGCAGTTAACCGGGATGAGTTATTCTGCCATATTAAATATTGAGAATGGTATGGGATGGTGGAATAAAAATGGCATTTAGTTTATGAAGGATTGAATTCAGTCTTTCTCACCCTGATGCCTTTTAGCTGGGTTGGACTGAAGCTCTCATCATTTTCCTTTTACCTATTAATTTCCAATAAACCAGGATGTAACCAAGTTGAAGACTGGATTCTTCTAATCCTAACAACAATACTGTACGCAATTTGTTATGAAGAAAGTGCTATTTTGTGGTCATCCCACGTTGTAAGAACCAAGCCTGCAATTCTTAATGTGTGAACACTGAATGATCTTTACAAAAATGTTAACCACTGCTATGCCTGTTTAATAAGCACACTTCTACGATGAGTCACCTGTATTTGAGGAACACACAACATATTGTACTTTGAGAGAATAAGGGTAATTAAGGTAGCAATCCTGTACATTCTTACCTGGGAATAAATTTTATTGAAATCAGTATGGCTTACTCTTGTACTTGGATTATTAAATGTAAGCCGAAACAAGCTACGATTCCATGCATATTTTTTGGAGGAGTGTCACACTGAACATAAGAATATCATCCGAGGAAAATCAAGACGGCTTGGTCCATCGTGAATCACCACGGATAGAGCAGATTATACAAAGCGTTAGCCACGTGGACAGCCCGATCCTATGCAAGTCGACTCAAAATAAAGCGTCAATTAATTAAATCCACATATTAGCTTCCATAGTATTTCAACCTCCCTTGGACATAACCTATTGCATTTGGCAGGCTTATTTTCTTCTATGCACTGAATCTTACTGAAATCACAAATGTATTTCCTAAACAAAACTGGCAGTTAACGCTCCTCCCCGTGGAGAAAGAGAAAGCAACAGGGCTTCCTTGCATATCGGTGTCTGTGCCTCGAATTGCATCTTTTACTCGGAAGGACTGAAATCTCCAGAAAACAAACCAGACCCAGATTTCTTCGGTATTCTCTCCCTTTGAGGAGCAGGAAGCGCCTGTTTAGCGTGATCCTCCTGGACAGGGGGTGCTGTAGGCGGCGAAAAGCGGATGAGGCGGCGTTCTAGGCAGAAACTGCTTCCGTACCCAGCAATCCCTGCGGCATTCTTACCTTCTGGTTATCCGTTTGTGACCTTTCTTCCTTGGTGCTTCTCTGACTTCGAAGGTGGGTTCGGTCTTGTCTTCTGGGACTAGCGGGGTTGCCTAACGGATTTTTTAAATCTTTTCCTGTCTGTGCTTGCAACCCTGATGGCAGCGCTCCATCGTGCGCCTTGAGGGTCTCCCGGTCATTTGAGGTCGTAATTAACGCTCCGAATTCCCGAAGGCTACCGGGATGGGTCTGAGGAGCACAAAGACAAGTCAGAGGCCAGTCCCGGCTGTTATGATAGCTGGGGAAGGATTGGGAGTACTGTATAGAGAAAGAGGTGTTGGGGGACTTGCTACCCCACTTACACCCGAGTCCTACCTTGTAGAAGGAGAGCTGTGTTAGTCCACGATGCCAAAAACTCAGGAGTCTAGTAGCATCTTCTCCAACTAACAGATGCTATTAAAAGATATAAGCTTTTCTGAGCTGTAGCTCACTTCCAGGTCCTACCTGTATCTTTTAAAAAGTGATCCCTGGATAAGCAGTCCTAGAGTACAGTATATCAAATTCATTGCCACAGGAGGTAGAAACTGCTACCAGCTTCGATTGCCCTTTTTCTTTTCTCTTTGGGAAAAAGTTGTACAAATTGAGATGGGATCCCTAAATGAAGCTGTTATAGAAACTGATACAGATTGGTGTTGCCAGCGTTGTATACAGATGTGTTGTATTTTGATTCCAGTCATGGAGAAGTCTGGTGTAGTGTATTGGGTGGTAAAATAATGTATTAAGCTGCTTCATCCTGAACCTTTGTACATGAACTGGATACCATTTGCTAGGCTAGAGAAACAAATGTTGTAATAAGGGTGGGCTCTTGGTTTCATGCTCGATTTGTGGATTTTTAAAGGCTTGTAGTTGATCGCTGTGGCAAACAAGGTACAAAGGCTCCATCTCTGGCATCAGGCTCTCAAACAGCTGTTTTCAGCTAGAAAGAATTGTGCTAGATGGAGAACATGTGCAATACAGTTCCACTAGCTGATCTCACTGCAGGGAGATGGTCATGTATTAGCTAAAGCTTTTCATAGGAATGTTCTGGACTCATCTTGATTATAGTGGTCTGTTAGCATCTGATGTTTCACTGTGTTACAACTCTTAATGCTGCAGTAACAAAATGTTCAGCAAAGTTGTAAGAGTTTCCACAATGTATACTTAAAAGCAAATGCTACAAAACACTAAATACAAAGAAAGAATTATGCTTGGTTTTCTTAAGAATGTAGTTAACAGTTCTTTGCTGAAAGCAAAGGCTTTCAGTTGTGAGTCTCCTCTATGTGTATCCCACTTGGGACTTCTGTATTTCTTTTTCAATTTTTTTTTCAAAAACAGGAACTATAATTAATGCCAAGCACTGGTTTACTTTGAAATACTGTTGTTTTGTTCCAACTTACAGATGCTGCTTAATATTTCAAAGTTGTGGACTATGTATAAACCTTCAAAAGAATTTCAGCCTATCCTGATTTCTGCAATTTTTACTGGATACATTTTTTACAAAATTGAATTTGGAGGTAAATTTTATATGCTTGATTTCTGGAACTGCAGTTACAGATGTAATTTTGGATTTCGACAAACTACATTGATTTGGGATAGAGGACAAATAAAATTATGATAGTCAGCTATTGAATGATTAAATTTTAGCTTCCATATAATCAACTTTCATTTAGTTGGATACAAATAATAAATAATATACTGTACAATAATTATATTAATATAATTTTTATTATCATGGAGAAATATAATTTTTATTATCATGGAGAAATCAAAAGGGATTCTTGATTGATCTGTGGCCTGACAAACTGTTCCCAAATTTGCACTGAGGCTTCTTTCCTTAAGTTTGATTGCATCAAAGTAACTTAAGTACAGTAAAAGATGTGCATTCCATTTGATTTACAGTGCATCTTTAGTAGACTGTGAATAGACCAAATTTTCCTCTTATAAAAGATTAACAGATCTTCCCAGTTTGCCTTATGCTATATTCATTGCATAGATATTTGTTACATTATCATACAACTTAATCAATTGTGTATATTGGTCAACATTAATCAGGAATTACTTTTTCTATTATATAAAATAAATCAATAAAATAAAAGTGATAATGTGATATTAGGATGTTCCTGATCCTTTTCTTAAAAAATGCAGATGTTGACTACAACACATCAGCTATCTACTGCTGGAAAACATGCATAGATTTATTCTTCTGGTGCTGTATAATAATTTTTAGCAAAATTATCCACAATTCTTAATGTCTTGATAGGTTTCAAGAACACCATCTGCAGCCTTGATACAAAGGATTTCTGTGGATTTTAGCCCAAAAATATGACAATAGCAGAGCAAGCCCAAGCCATGTGAATTAACATTCTAACTCCTGAATTTCATTTTTAGTACTGAATGGTGGTGATTGCAGCCAACCCTTATTAAACATTACCTGAAGTATTCAAACAAAAGAAAATTTTCTCACTTTAAAATCTAAAGAAAACAATTCATGGATATTAAATTTGTCCCAAATTTTGCAAAAATAATATCAATTTCATCTCATTTCTTCAAATTCTTATAAAAATGGGTTACTGGTTTTGGAGCTAATATATATTCTTCAACAGTCTGTAATAAATATGGAATTTCAAAGCATTAGTGACATCAATATCAAAATATCCAAATAAATTGTTAAATTGAATAAATAACCAAGAAGCAATGAAAGGTAATTCAAATGTTCACTGAAATTCCTTGATAGAGATTTTTAAAAGTATGTTTAGCATTCCTATTTACAAAATCTCTCCCCAGTGTGGTATAGTATAGTCTTATGCATGTTTTTCCTGAAAGTTCCAGTCCCAGGTATTTGTGTATCATACACGTACCCTAAATTGTGAAGTAAAAGGATTAAGATTTTCTCATCTATGACTACAAAATTTCTGGTCTTAATCCAATTTACAGATTTTTTGTAATTATATTTGTCTTGAATACTCAGGTTCTTATACTGACATTTTCTTCTTCAAATATAGCTTTGTGCTGATATAGCATTATTTAAATATATTAGGAATTATTGTTTGGTCTTTTTGTAATGAAATTCATTTTACCCTTAGGTGAAAAGTCAGCAGAAAGAAGAGCAGCAGAAAAAAGGAGGAGGAGTAAGTACTAGCATAATTGGAAATGTATACATGTCTGTCACATTTATGTATTTCATTCATCTTAATTCATTAAGATTAATCTTAATGTAGAACTTGACAATGGTTCTTCATTTGTCATTGGTGCCAAATGTGTATACAGAGCTCTGAAAATAGTGCTACTTCTTCCGAATATAGGCTTTTTTTCCTGTGTATATCCATTAAGTAAGATTCAGATTTAGGGGCATGCATCTAGGCTAGCTGGGCTCCTTCTTTCCCCATGGTGGAAACTAAAATAGTATGGTATATGGAGGAGTAAGGGGTACTCCTAAAAACTGTTGGTGGCTCCTATGAATGGGTCCCCTTTCCTCTACTTAACCCATTAAACTGGATTATCCAAGACAGTTTAATATTCAGGGGATGGGTAGAAATAATCTCTTGTCAATTTGCTAGGCTAAGGGAAGCAGATGTTATAACAAGGGCAAGCTACTGATATTTTATAGGTTTTAAATCTGGATCCGGTCAATTGTGTATTAAGTTAAGTTAGTCAAAATTTTACCATCTTATCTGTATAACATTTTAAACTCTCTTTCTCACTCACATGCATATGCTTTTCTACTTTTGTGGTTTTTGTTTTTTGCAGATAATGCTATTTTTGAATAGACATTATTTTTGTTCACAATTATTTAAACTTAGTGAATAAACCATTATCTCTCACAACTCCCAGAAATACCTGGAAGAGTCTAGCTGCAATCCTAGCTGTTGCCTTGCAGCTGGTATTCACATTCTTGTGATGTAAACAGTCATAACAGTTCCACTCCAGAAAAAGCAAATCTGTTACCTGGCTGAGGCCTGTGGAAACTTTGCTACTAGATAGGAGAAGGGCTGACTATAATTGTATGGTTACTGGGTCCTTCATATGCTGGCTCTGATAGCCATGTGTTAATGAAGGGAATGGATGGAATGCAAAAGAGCTGTAGTTTATTTTAAATAAGTAATAAGAAACATTGAATATAGTGTGATTGACTCCCAAGTAAACATGCATCGCATTATGCTATTACTTTATTTAGATTGTAGCATGTTATGTATCTGCATAAAATAACACTTAGATTTGCATATCTATCCAGGTTTGATCAGGCACAATTAGCAAGAGGAATAGACTTTGGAAAATTCATAGATAGTTGTATTTTCTGTATCAGAATAATCGTAGATATTATATGCAGTCATACCAGAGGTGTCTAAAATAGTGAGCTAACTGCAACATCATATGAATGGGCTGTTCTTCCTTCCCACTGCAATCTCACATGTACATCCTAGGTCTGTTATGAAAAGTCTACATGATATTCTGGAGCAGATTTGGGGAGGAAGATTTAGAAACATTTGGTGGCATCTTTTATTCAGATGAGAAAGCACAATTATATAGTGCCCAGTGGAATGTGTCATATTATAATTGATGGATTGATTGCTGAATTTTTTCCCATCATTTTAAGTCAAGGTTACATAATTTTTCAGTAAAGTATAGGTATTTTATTAACACTGGTTTATTGTTTGTCTAATTAAGATTATGTTATTACAGGATCCAGGTCTGACCATCATTAAAACTTGCACTCTTCAGTATGAATTTGTGAACTGTCATCTTAGCTGTAAACAAGCCGAGCTACATCATGGGAAACTAATTGTTCTGTAAACAGTGTGCATCATTAGCACAGTGATAATCTGCCATCTGTCATGGACTAAATAAATGTGGTGTTCAAGAAGTGTGCTGAATATTTTATTAATGAATATAGACTTACTCTAAATATCTTTTACCCCTAGGCATGATCAATGTTTCTTTTTTAGAAATGTTCTTCACTTTTTTTTTAAATGTTGCTGTTTAATTGTCCAGCTCCCAAAATGGCATACAGTACAACATAATGACATTGTACAACATGTTTATCTAAAGTATAATACTGTATCCAGCATATTTATTTGAGGGTTCAGGTTCTAGGATATATTACAGAACTTTAGAACATAATAAAGCATATTAAAAACAGCAGGATCTACAGTAATATTATGAGACCATAAAATCTGCCAGCCAAGATAAAGTAGTTTACAATTAAAGAACCTGGGGAAAATCAATTGTTTGCCAACTGCCATAGCTACAAAGCAGGTCCCAAGGGAAAAATCTGAAGGCTGATTCTATGCTTTTGGATAATAGCAATAGATTGGCTCTTTTTACTCCTTTAGAGAAGTAATTTGTCAATAAAATAAAATATCAGACGTGCTAGCCATATGTAGCTAAAACTGCACATCAATGGCAAGGATAAAACTGCAAGGTTGCATGAACCTGAAGTCTCCAGGTGTGAGGGGAGGTAAAACCTGAGGGGGACTGGAGAAATTAGGCTCTTGAATGTATTGAAATATCGATTGCGTGCCAGATTGCAGACAAAAACATGTAGCACACATCCCCACAAGTTGGGGTGGCTCTCATTCACATACAGAATCAGATGGTTAGAAAAAGAAATGTTCTTTTAAAACAGGAGACGTCACAGACCAAGGATGGGACATAGTGGGGCTTACCGTCTCATCAACTCTGGTTAATGCATGGCATCCTAGGAAGAAAGGAAGTCCAGGTAAAAGGAAGCAAAGGATATTTTCTTCAAAAGGATTCTGTTTCTGTACAGATATATTTAGCGAGAAAAGTTGTATTTGAATTTCTGACTTTGAGGTACTATTTTTTCTCTATATATACAAGTGAGAAAAATTGGATTTTGTATCAGCATTGAATAATACTTCATGTACAAGAAGATAACATTTTTCTTTAGAATTTTGCAACTCTTCCCATATCTCTGCTGAAGTTTCTAGCAGGCCAGTGCCATCCTGTGGTCTGCCTAGAGCAATCAGACAACAAACAAGGTAAAAACAAAATACTAAAAGTACTCAGTAAAAATGTTGTCAAGTGGTTTTTTATTTTGTTACCATTTCTTAAGATTCTGTGATAACAAAGTTGGTTATGGTTGGCTTTGCAAATACATTTAATCTTCCATCAATTTGATTTAATTGTTGTATGCCTCCCAGAGTTGCTTTGTGTGAGATGGGCAGCTATATAAATATGATATATAAATAAATATAAATAAATAAATTTGGTATCCATGTTAATGGTACCAATTCCAAAGAAGCATATTTAATGGGCATTGTATAATCACAACAAAAGGTGCACAATACATGAATTATATTGTCGATTCACTGAATGACTTCACTCACCCCATTTAGCATAAGATATAATGCAACATTAGATTTTTGTACATTTTGTTGAAATGGAGTGGATTAGTCTTATCAGAGAATATTCTAATATGGTAAGTATCCATGACCTCTAAATTGGTTAGATTTAATTTCACACCCTAAGGGGGAACAGATAGAGATACATTTTCTATTGTTCTTAAGGTTTTCTTGTTCAGGGATAAATTCCTGTACGTTTCAGCTTATGAATCCGTTATATAAATGGACTGTGAAAAGAATGGCTAATAAGCACTGATAGTTCTAGTCTGTGTTGTGGATTGACTTACATATTCTCAAATGTAAATACCACTCTGCCCCATGGCAGCTTGAATTAGCAGTCTTTAGGGTTCAATTTTGTCAGTATTAATAGCAATATGAAACCATAGGAAGAGAACATATGGTACTTTGTAATATAGACACAAATATTCTGATAATGTTGAGTATGTTACATTACACCGAGTCTTCGATAAAAAGTAATTTCTTTGGTAAACTAATGCTGTAAAGCTATAGTCAGTTGAATGCAAGATGATGGGAGTTAAATCCAGGCAAAATGTAGATCTCATTGGGATATGAACCTGCATAACTTGTTAATTTTGAACTAACAATTGCTTGATCAGGCAAAATATGCATATCTGTCAATGGAAACAATATTCTTGTAGCTGCTATGGTTAGGGCAATATGCCCATTCTTTTTCCTGGAACCTTCCAGATTTTGGGGGTAGGGAGGGCTACAGCTATAAGAAGCCGCAGCCAGTATAGCCAAGCATTATGGGAAGTTCAGCCTAGAGGGCAATGTGTAGTCATGAAAGTAAGGTATTTTGTAAAGTACTTGTTTACATGTTTTGTATTTTTGGGTTGGGAAAAGGTAACATTAAAATCAGTTTTGTGACCAGTTTGATTTCAAGGTGCTGCTTTCAGATTTGAAAGCCATTTATAAATTAAGGCCTTCATGTTTACACTGCTCCATGACCATTGGATGCAAGGCTTCTTTTCCATTTTGATTTTGCATAAATAAGGTCAGTCACCCAAACACTCTGCATTTAGCTTTAAAAGTTGTGCGGCAATACACCTACCTTTAACGGTTTCTACCTGATGGATTTCTCGAGGGCCATATTCTCTCAGGCCCTGGGTGAAGGCAGCTGGAGCCTTCCACGGGATGTTGGTGAATATGCTGTTGGCAGATTCACCATATTGCTCTTTTCTTTCTTTTCTAGTTTGGTTTTTGTTTTATATTTTTACGATATTGTTTTTATTCTGTTTACTGTATTGTGAGCTGTCCAAAGTCGCTTTGGAGTCAGGCGGTGCCAAATCAAATTAAATAAATAAATGGCAAATCTTTTAAAGGGTATGTTTGGGATACAGTTATAAACTGGCTGCTATTCTAATAGTATTAAGCTAGTGTTTTGTTTTGCTGGGTTTTTATTACGTTTTATGTAAATGAACAAAAAAGGACAGTATAGATTAGGAAATGGTTGGCTGGTGAATTATTTTAAACAGTACTAGGACTCACAGTGGTGGGATAAGGAATGCAAATAATCCATAGATATTAGCAATACTTTGAGGATGTAATTTTTTCCAACTTTAGCATTGTATTCACATATGTTAAGCCACACATCCAATTACGAAATAGGCAACACCACTTTCCTATCCCCTCATTGTAACTGCAGTTGAAATAATTTTGGCCAAAAGGGCTAAGAAGGATAATGCAGAGCTAAAAGTTTGCAGCTTCATATGCTTATATGTATTCAGGTAAATTTGAAAAACAGAAGTCTTATGACTTAAGTAGATTGTAAAATATGACAAATGCCTTCTGCTGGATTTCAATCTCAAAAAAAATCCAAAATAAAATTTCAGAGATGCAAAGCACTATATTTTAACAGTAGAAACAGGCCAGACAAAATTTTACATTTTGATTATGTTCCCCATTCTGTTTATTTAAATAAAAGAATAGCACACAATCTCTTCAGCAAACTTCCAATCAGTACAATCTTACTGTATAATTCAACAGGAGGAGTTTAGCTACATTGAAGTAAACAGATATTTCCTAAATTACATGTTTTTTAAACTAACCAGTCATATCCTCTTTGAATATACAGGTAAACTGATACTTTAAACAGTTGTACACTTAGGGCCTAAAAGAGCTAAAAATAGAAAACGGACAAACACGTTTATGGAAATAAGGTCTATGCACCAATTTTGATTGAATTGTTTTTCTATTCACCTGGTGCCAGGAATTACAATAAGATACTGTCTGTTGGATCAGAATACTAATTCATCTAACATGGATGCCTTACAGTTTTGAGAGGTTGTTCTCAGGCCTTTCTAAATCCCTCAAAAAATAATCTGGATATTAAATCTGGATTGTATTTATCTTTAAAATATACTGTTATATGTGGCAGGAAATTATTACAGTAGGTCATTGCTTATCTTAATTGTGCTTCCTTTAAGAAGAAATCACTGGAGACTAATGCCATTTGTAATATTTATGTACAAATATATATGTTCTGTCATTTAACTCATACTACTATATATACTTTTTCCAATTGTTTCCCATCCAAACATTGTTTAGCTTTAGCTCTATAGCTGCATCATGGCCCTCAGGTTATATTACATATTACAATAGCCAAGTGTGTGGTTATGTTCACATGGATGACATAACATGGTTTATTCAACATAATTGGTTATTGTGTATCAAGTCCTTGCATAGTTTCAATTGTTACCATAGATGTTTTAAATCATTTATATTCTGTATAGGCTGCTGAGAATCATTCTGACTGCAGTAGGGTGGAAATGTATTTAATTAATTTCTGGGTTTAATGACACACTGAACCTTAAACTAACCACATGTCTGGGTTTGCAGAATATGCTGGGTTACAGTATAGTTGGCAATTTGTGATTCAATATCTTGTGTGACTATAGACTATGACTTGATAGGGTGTATAATACAACCATTTGGTGAAAGCTAAGGTGGTCTCAATGTGATCAGTAACTTTATGGAAGATCATTTAAAACCCCACATCATCTTGAATTTTATAAGAGAAAAACATGGATATAAATATAATTTCCATATTTTATGATTTCCAATGTAGACTAAGAATTATGTATGTAGTACATTTGTAATTAGTTTCTTCCATCATGCAACTCAGGACAATAAAAAAGAGGTTCCTTAGTAGTTTCTCATCTACATGTACTCCAGATCCAGGTCTCCTCAGTTTTAGCAACATTCAGCATTATGTATCCTTCAGGCCAGATACTTAAAATAGATATTCTGGTTTTAGCATAAAGGGCCATGTCCATATTCATTTTCTCCCTCTTCCTCCCTGCCCCACCAACACATTTCCCTTCCACTCAGTGATATGGGGCATTACTGTTACAAGGAAAGGGGAAGCACTGAGCCTGCACCCTTCTCTTTGTTATAGGAAATCAGCCATTGTATAAGTCAATGAGAGAGGAAAACCTCTGAGCTATCTTGTTGCCATTAGCAGTAAGAAACCATGATCT